ATGGGCAAGGCTCCATACAGCAGATAAGAACACTTTGATTCATTTGTAATTCAACGTTTTTGGCATTGCCACTTCTAAAAGAAGTTCCTCAACCTCACAGAGAGAGAACTGGCTAGAAAGCAAAAGCGCTGAGTCCACACATATGGAGCAGCCTCAGGCGTGAGCAGAGAGAGACAGGCTCAATGTGATGTTGGATGAAATAACAAACAGATGGAATAACTAAACAGGCCCATCTAAAAGGTACATTTTGCAGCACTGGGGATCTTGCAGTAAACACAGACCGAAACAGTGACCATCTGGCCTGTGAAAGATATACAGTGCATTCGGAAAGTATTCAGACCCCTTGACTTTTTCCACATTTTGTTACTTTACAGCCTTATTATAAAATTGATTAAATAAAACAATTTACTCATCAATCTACACACAATACCCACAACATGTTTTTGCTTTGTCATTATGGGGTATTGTGTGTAGAATGATGAGGATAAAAAAAAAAAAAAAAATTTAAAATAAGGCTGTAACGTAACAAAATGTGGAAAAAATCAAGGGGTCTGAATACTTTCCGAATGCACTGTAAGTACAGTGCCTTCAGAAAGTATTCACACCCCTTGACTTTTTCCACATTTTGTTGTGTTACAAAGTGGGATTAAAATGGATTGAATTGTACTTTTTCCCCCCACACAAAATACTCTGTAATGTCAACGTGAAAGAATATATTTTTTTTTATTAATGAAAAATAAAAAACAATATATCTTGATTAGATAAGTATTCAACCCCTGAGTCAATACATGTTAGAATCTACTTTGACACCGTTTCAGCTGTGAGTCTTTCTGGGTAAGTCTTTGCACACCTGGATTGTACAATATTTGCACATTATTCTTGTTGATCATTGCCAGTCAGCCATTTTCAAGTCTTGCCATAGATATTCAAGCCGATTTAAGTCAAAATGTAACTAGGCCACTCAGGAACATTCAATGTTGTCTTGGTAAGCAACTCCAATGTATATTTGGCCTTTGTGTTTTAGGTTATTGTCCTGCTGAAAGGTGAATTTTTCTCCCAGTATCTGAACCAGGTTTTCCTTTAGGATTTTGCCTGTGCTTAACTCTATTCCATGTATTTAATCCTAAAAAACTCCCTAGTCCTTGCTGATGACAAATATACCCATAACATGATGCAGCCACCACCATGCTTTAAAATATAAAGAGTGGTACTCAGTGATGGTGTTGTGTTGGATTTGCCCTAAACATAACGCTTTCTTTACCACATTTTCTTTGCAGTTTTACTTTAGTGCCTTATTGCAAAATTTGAATATTTTTATTCTGTACAGGCTTCCTTCTTTTCACTATGACAATTAGGTTAGTATTGTGGAGTAACTACAATGCTGTTGATCCCTTAGTTTTATCCTATCACAGCCAATAAACTCTGTAACTGTTTTAAAGTCACCATTGGCCTCATGGTGAAATCCCTAAGTGGTTTCCTTCCTATCCGGCAACTGAGTTAGGAAGGACGCCTGTATCTCTGTAGTGACGGTGTATTGATACACCATCCAAAGTGTAATTAATAACTTCACCATGCTCAAAAGGATATTCAATGTTTGCTTTTTATTTTTACCCATCTACCAATAGGTGCCCTTCTTTGCGAGGCAATGGAAAACCTCCCTGGTTTTTGTGGTTGAATCTGTGTTTGAAATTTACTGCTAGACTGAGGGACATTACAGACAATTGTATGTGTGGGGAACAGAGATGAGGTAGTAATTCATGTTAATGACTATATGCACACAGAGTGAGACCATGCAACTTTTTAAACAAATTTCTCTCCTGAATTTATTTAGGCTTGACATAACAAAGGGGTTGAATACTTATTAACTCAAGACATTTCAGCTTTTCATTTTTTATTAATTGGTAAAAATTTCAAAAAACATATTTCCACTTGAACATTATGGGGTATTGTGTGTAGGCCAGTGACACAAAATCTCAATTTAATAAAATTTTTATTCAGGCTGTAACACAACCAAATGTGGAAAAAGTCAAGGGGTGTGAATACTTTCTGAAGGCACTGTAGTTCAATAGTTCATAAAGGGCAGCTTATCTTCTTCCATACTCTCACTTTAGCTGTCCCCAAACACACATTTCAGTCGAATTTTCATAAGACCATCACTGGCAATCAGCACACACAGTCTGTCTCCCCTAAAGTTATTTCAGAATCAGGAAGACAACCAATACAACATTCCGGAGCATCCCTGATCTCCTCAGTCGCCCAGCAGTGCTTCCCACAGGAAGTCAGAATTCTATCAGAACATCCAGCTTAGCCCATCTCCTTCGGGTAGTAATACCTGTGCCTGCATAAATAACTACATTTCGGCTCTGAAATCCTACAGATCTGTTTTCTTTTGAACCTGTGAGGAGGCTCCTGCCTCCTGGGAGCAGTCCTGCAGAAACACATCAGTAAGAGACGACACTGGGCAATTTCTACACAGGACGACCAACAGGAACAGGCTGGGTAGTCATATTACATATGGCTGAGCCAATCTCCCTCTGACACCACGCATTTTGATCATACGTCCAATTTGAAACACAACTCCATTTGATGCTAGGTGAGGCGGGTTGAGAAGTGGTGAGGAGGGAGGGTGAGAGGGTGAGGAAGAGGAGGGAGAGATGAGGGCAATGCGTTACAAAGTTGTAGTTAAAGACGGCCAATAAATCACAGGCTCTTCTCTTCTGGGAGGTGATGCATGGATTATTCCAGGCCGTGCCAAGTTAAGTGGCAGCCAGATGCCAGTACCACCCCGTCCCGCCCCCCTTGCATGTCACACTGTATTTTCCAGTACATCCTCCAGGAGACAGGGTTTATAAATGCAAGTAAGCCGCTCCCTCCGCTTGACAAATGAGCTTTCAGGGCATGTGTCGGGTGAATGGGAATGAAGATAAATCTGATATAATGGCTCGATAACAACCTGCTAGCCCCTGACAGACACCATCAGCTCCACCATTCTTTATGGGAAGGACAGTCACGCTGCAATCACTAAAACAATGGACCTGGAGCTTCTCCTCTCCCCCTCTCACATTCTCTCCTCCTTTCTGTCTTTGACTGTTTCTTTCTTTGCTTCCTACTACAAGAAGGCCTAGTGTGTAGAGTGTTTGTGGTAATTCGGAAAGAAACACCCGTGTTTGCCCCATGATGATGTAGATCGCAAAACTTGAACTACAGAACAATCTTCTGTGGCAAATCGTGATTATCCCTGACAAAACTTTAATTCTGATTGTGTCAAATTAGGCATTTAATCACAGAGTGAATATTATTCACATTGTGAGGTTAGAGGCTCATCATTGCTTTACACCTGTGCAGAGTCCAACATGTTTCAACCTGAACACAAAAATTGAGTCCCCTTGGGTTTGACTGCGACCAAATGACACCTAATTTCCGGCGTTTGTGAAAGGTCCCGTGGTCAGGCCATACCTGCGGCCAGCTGCTCACAGAGAATCAGCGAGAAGGAGGGAGGGAGGAAGAGAGAGCCAAAGAGACAATGAAAGAGAGTGAAAGAGAGAAAGAGAAAATGCAAGAAACTGGCATCTGTGCCTGCCTGACACCAGGCAGGAGTAAAGGAAGGTTAAGGTAATGTGGATAAGAACATAATGGCATTCTGCTGTGCTGTGGTGACGAGGCGGGCCTGCTTTGTATTCACACACTGCAGGTAGAGAGAGACACAGAAGATGGGCAGAGATGGGGCCTGATGACCTGTCACTCTGTGTGTGTGTGTGTGTGTGTGTGTGTGTGTGTGTGTGTGTGTGTGTGTGTGTGTGTGTGTGTGTGTGTGTGTGTGTGTGTGTGTGTGTGTGTGCATGTGTGTGTGCGTGTGTGTATGTGCGTGCGTGCTTGTGTGTGGACATGTTTAACTATACTTGTGGCGACCAGAAGTCAAGCCTCGACACACCCATAACTTGTTTATTCATGAAAACCCAGCCCTTTCACGCCAAGGCCAGCAAGAGCACCGATAATTGTGATAGTGAAAGAAAAAATATTCCTGACACACCACTGAACCTATAGCGCTACCGCCTGGCTTAGATTTAACATTAAAGTAGAGCCCATAGTGACCTATTTTTGGGTGGTTTGTAGGTGTGGAGTTATTATAGTGGGTTAGTGGGCTAGAATAATAGTCTAGAGCATACTATAGCATCATAAGCAATAGAATGTGTTTCTAAGCTCTCAAAATGTTTTAGTTTGAACATTCTAAAAAATTTCAGTTTGAAATGTTGAAGCCTGCATTTCGTGATTTAAATGAATTTGTTTATGAAGTATAAATGGCAACGAAAAGCTGTGATGAAGCAATCTATGTTTAGTCAGTCTGCACATTTCAATGTTGGGTTGGTGTTTGTAGCTGAAACGGATCAAGAGCAGTGGTGAATCCAAAATGTGCCTTTGAAATCTATGGAGCTTTTATGCAAATGTTAATGGTTATAGTTCAAAAAGTACAAATATCATCAATCTTTTGACAAACAGTCTAAATTGAGTCAGTCTGCACATATCACTGTTGGGTTGGTGTTTGTAGCTGAGACAGAATTATATGTTTATTTTTTTATTTCTCCAAATGGTTTTCTTATGCACAATGCACAGTGTACATAATTAACTGGTCAGTTTCTGACAGAATATATTCCAAGTGGTCAAACTCCTCTAACTACATTATTAGCCTACTGACTGTGTCTACTGTATGTTTGGTGAACACAAAGAACTTGGATTGCGATGTTACAAAAATGGAAATATAACAAAACAAGGAGAGAAACTAGACAGGGCAGCCGAAGGTCATGATCTGGTTGAGAAACTCCTCGATACCTAGACAGACTTCTCTGTAGTCTCTGGACTGGCAGTCTGATTATGAGGGCCAGTAATCTATCCATGTCTGTTATCCTAGGTCATACTTGTACTGCAGCAGTCCGTCATCACCTACTCCGTGACTCAACTTTCTTCTGCATACTGCAGCGCTCTTCAGCACACATACACACGTCTCAGAGAGACAGTCTGCTCGGGGTACCACCCTCCCTCTGTAGGTGGTAGAACTTCACACAGTCCTTCTGGTTGTAGTACTCGTATACAGAGACGGCAGCTGGCTTTAGAACTCCCATGTCCTGTACTCTGTGGATCTTAAAGGATGTTTTGTCTGCTAGCTTATGGGACACCTAATCCAGATATAGGATGAGAGAGCCTCTTTCAGACAGAACTCTGCCCATTTCAAACTTCTCTATGTAGCGCTCCCTCCTCTCTGACAACTTTTTCAGATCGTCTGCGTCTACAATGAAGCCTGTCAGCAAGCCGATGTCCAGGACAGAAACGGTTGCATCTCTCTCCGAGTTAAGATAAACCATCTGAATAGTGAGCGTGAACGACTCCTTGGCATCCTCGTGGCTTGTTTTGTCCATCTTAGTGAGGGTGACAGAGAGGTCAAAGCTTTCACAGTTACTGTCCTTCTCCTCTGGCAGGGCATGGTACAGCTTCACCACCGACACAGTTACTGTCCTTCTCCTCTGGCAGGGCATGGTACAGCTTCACCACCGACACAGTTACTGTCCTTCTCCTCTGGCAGGGCATGGTACAGCTTCACCACCGACACAGTCGCCTCACCATTTCTTGAGGCTTTTGCTGTCAAGTTCTTGTCTATGGAGTTGACCTTGTCTTTATGAGTGAGGATCTGGTTCTTGTTGTTGATGGACCACTTTGTATCTGATGTCCTATCGGCCACCTCTATGTGGATGTTCAGGTCAATGTCCTTTAGGTCCTTCACGTTGCTCCAATACTCAGCCACAGCCTGGAACACCATAATGGTGGACTGTGTGGATCCGTATCCCCCTCCCACCTTGTTCTGCTTGTTGAGCCACCTGACGATGGGCCGGCCTCTTCGAAGGCCTTCATCTTGACCAAGGCCAGCAGAGCATACGACGTGGCATCCAGTGTGTACTGATTACCATCAAGGACTGGCCAGTGGTCCAGCTGTGGAGATGCGAACTTCAGTAGGGTCTCCTTGTTGAGTTTTCCTGCATTGGCCAGAGCATAGGAGGACATAGCTACAGCATAGGGGTTATTTAGGGTGGGCAGATGCCTCTCCAGGTACGTTACTGCCTTAATCATACTGCCTGGTAGGCTGTTGACAGACTGCTCACACAGTGAGCTTGCCTCTTGCATGGCGATGAGAATGAAGGCTGTCATTGAGGTGTCACTGTCCGAACCCCTCACGTCATCTCTGCATGAATGACCAGAGCAAACTCACTGAAGATGCTGTCAGGCTGTTGTGTGTGCAGGATCAGCCACTTGACTGCACTACAGAGCACTTGCTCCTGAACACTGATCAGAGTACTGGACATGGCAAACACCTTCACTACATACACTGTCAGCCAGGTGGTTCTCTTTATGCTGACCCAGGCAGCGCAGGAGCCATCGTCTTTACGGCATGCCAGCTCACGTTAATAACCTATGTTGATGTACTTAATGGCTGTGTTTCATTTGTCCAAGCCAATATCCTCCCACTTTTTGGTGTTGTCCAGGTAGTGTGTAGCAATGACAGGCAGGGTCATGTAGATCATGTTCTCTTCCCCACCCCCGACTGGCTGAACTATCAGATTGCCCAGTGAGTCTCCACTGACGGCCTGCTCCACCAGCACACTGATCTGCTCTCCACCTCACACTGATCACTGTGGTTTCCTTCTTGACCAGCACTCCCTCAGCCACTACGCGCAGGTCCCTCTTCAGCCCGTCGCCATTGTTGTAGGAGTTTTTCACAGAAGCCTTGACCTCGATGGAGTGCATGCCTAGCTTCATAGGGATGATGACATAAGGGACGACCCGGCTGGACATGGGGTTCATGTTCACTTCCTGACTGTAATTACCCTTCTTGCTAGCTGAGCTGCACACCTCACCATTTTCCATCAGCTCCACACGCACAGTGATGGGGTCTTTGCAGTAATTGTGGAGGATAGCTTTGACCTCCAGCTGTTCATTGCGGACGGCAGAGTAGGGCAGCTTGAGGTCATTGAAGAATCCTGTGAGTTTTAGACAGGCTGATGGCTGTTTTCTGCCAGGTTGTGATGGAATCCGAAGGGAAGCTGTAATTTATCACAGATGTGGTCTTGCAGTGCTTGTCATGGGCTGGTCATTCAGTAAGTATGACGTCCTTCCACATAAAGCTCTCAGGGAACACACATATAAATCAAAAGTCTTCAGAACGCACACTGCGTCGGAGCAGCAGTGCTTCGTGTTTGAAACAGTCCTTCTTGGAGGCCATCTCGTTACTGGCCATAGTAGTGATGACGTCACTGATTGTCACCACTCGTCTACCTGTCACTATCAGGACAGCTGGGGTCTGTTCTGATCCTAGTCCATTTAACGGTGTCCATCTCAAATACCAGACCAGCATCGTAGAACACCTCCACACTGTCTGCTCCTCCTTCAGCTGTACAGCCTGTATCATGCTTTTCTATTGTGTCCCAGATCTTGGTATGTGTAATATGGTGTTTGTTGTTGTGTATGTAGACTCCCTTGTCTACAGCCACCAGTTGTACTCTAGCTCCCGGGTCTCCAGTGATGGTCAGACTGAAAGCCCTACGAGGCATATCGGACGCATTGGGCCTGGTCGACGTCACTTTCAGCGAGTGTATGCATGAGACCTTTACGTCAACCCAGACAGAGTCTGCCACCAGGTCAGATTTTCCGACGTGGTGGTAAGCTACAATATGGAACGACGGAAACATCTCCTTGCCCTGTCTCTTGAATCTGGCCGCTTTCACCAGCTGAACTCTGCTCAGGAACATGTACAGTACCAGTCAAAGGTTTGGACACACCTACTCATTCTAGGGTTTTTCTTAATTTTTACTATTTTCTAAATTGTAGAATAATAGTGCAGACATCAAAACTATGAAATAACACATATGGAATCATGTAGTAACCAAAAAGTGTTAAACAAATCAAAATATATTTTATATTTGAGATTCTTCAAAGTAGCCATCCTTTGCCTTGATGACAGCTTTGCACACTCTTGGCATTCTCTCAACCAGCTTCATGAGGTAGACACCTGGAATGCATTTCAATTAACAGGTGTGCCTTGTTAAAAGTTAATTTGTGAAATTTCTTTCCTTCTTAATGCGTTTGAGCCAATCAGTTGTGTTGTGACAAGGTATGTCACGTTCGTTTAAGGAAGGGTCAGACCAAAGCGCAGCGTGAAATGCGTACATGTTTATTTAAATGATAAACACACGACAAAACAACAAACCAACAAAACGTGAAGTCCTAAGGCTACACACAAAACAAGCCTACACACGGAACAAGATCCCACAACTAATGCATGCCAACAGGCTGCCTACGTATGATCCCCAATCAAAGACAACGAGCGACAGCTGCCTCTGATTGGGAACCACACCTGCCAACATAGATCTACACATACTAGATATTACACATAGATATACACAACATAGAATATCCATACCCTGACTCAACATATAAGAGTCCCCTGAGTCAGGGCATGACAGTACCCCCCCCCCCCCCCCCCCCCCCCAAAGGTGTGGACTCCGACCGCACAACCTTTACATAACAGGGTAGGGGCCGGGTGGGCATTCTGCCTCGGAGGCGGACGACCACATGCTCTCCGCCTCCCTATTGCACCCCTGGTCTGGTCTGGACCTCAGCGCGCTGCTTCCCCTCTAATTCCACCCACGATACTCCAAGCCCTGTCTGGACCCTGGTGTGGGAGACCCCAAACCTGGAGAGGGGCTGACGTCTGGGTCTGTACTGGAGCCGCTGACCGGAGCTGGACTGGGCACTGGTGGAGCGGACTGCTCAGGCTCCGGACTGGAGCCGCTGACCGGAGCTGGACTGGGCACCGGTGGCTTGGTGCGAGGAGCAGGAACGGGCCGGGCCGGACTGGCGACACGCACCACTGGCTTGGTGCGAGGAGCAGGAACAGGCCAGGCCGGACTGGGAACACGCACCACTGACTTGGTGCGAGGAGCAGGAACGGGTCGGGCCGGACTGGCGACACGCACCACTGGCTTGGTGCAAGGAGCAGGAACAGGCCGGGCCGGACTGGGAACACGCACCACTGGCTTGGTGCGAGGAGCAGGAACGGGCCGGGCCGGACTGGGAACACGCACCACGGGCTTGGTGCGAGGAACAGGAACGGGCCGGGCTGGACTGGGAACACGCACCACTGGCTTGGTGCGAGGAACAGGAACGGGCCGGACCGGACTGTGGAGGCGGACTGGAGGTCTGGAGCGGAGAGCTGGCACAACCCGTCCTGGCTGGCTGCCCACTTTCACACGACATGTGCGGGGCGCGGGCACTGAACGCACTGGGCTGTGCATGCGCACTGGCGATACAATGCGTTTCTCCGCATACCTGGGTTCCTCTATTAACCCCCGCTCCTTATATTGCCTAACCAGCTCCTCTCTCCGTGCCTCTACTTCCTCCTTTTCCCTATGAGCCTCCTGCAGTGCCTCCTCGTGACTGGATCCCACCTGCTCTATTCTAGCTATCAGCCCCTGTAATATGGTGGCCTCCTCTCTTACCCTGCCGATCCGATCCTTCTCTCTCTCTCGGCACTCCTCCTCCAGTGAGGACTCCTCCGGGAGCCCCCACGAGTTAGGGAACAGAAACTCATCGTCGTCATCATCCTCCGACTCCTCAGTATAATACTGTTCCCACTCTTCTTCCCATGGTCGTAGGGACTAAATCTGGAAACCCACCGGGTGCAGTGGTCGGGGCTGCTTCTCAGGCTTCCTCCTCAGCCGGCTTCTGTGTTGCCGTTGCTCCTCTCCTGCCTGGGCTTCCTTCTTCGCCCAGGGTCCTTTTCCTGCAAATATGTCCTCCCAAGACCAAATCTTCCCCACCTGTGTCCAGGGTGTTCGGTCCTCCTGGGCATGCTGCTTGGTCCGTGTTTGGTGGGATCTTCTGTCACGTTCGTTTAAGGACGGGTCAGACCAAGGCGCAGCGTGAAATGCGTACATGTTTATTTAAATGATAAACACACGACAAAACAACAAACCAACGAAACGTGAAGTCCTAAGGCTACACACAAAACAAGCCTACACACGGAACAAGATCCCACAACTAATGCATGCCAACAGGCTGCCTACGTATGATCCCCAATCAAAGACAACGAGCGACAGCTGCCTCTGATTGGGAACCACACCGGCCAACATAGATCTACACATACTAGATATTACACATAGATATACACAACATAGAATATCCACACCCTGACTCAACATATAAGAGTCCCCTGAGTCAGGGCGTGACAAGGTAGGGGTGGTATACAGAAGATAGCCCTATTTGGTAAAATACCAAGTCCACTACTAAAGGACACCAATGGACATTAGACCGGTGGAAATCATGGTTTTGATGTCTTCACTATTATTCTACAATGCAGAAAATAGTAGAAATAAAGAAAAACCCTTGAATGAGTAGGTGTGTCCAAACTTTTGACTGGTACTGTATGTAAAGTCATGGTTATATATGGGGAGGCATCCAAGGTTCAGGTTGATCCTAATGGTGTCTCCTATCTTCAGCTTATTAGAGTCAACATGGAGGAAGTTCTTGGTGGAAGTCCTGTAGGGGAAAGCCTTCATGTTGGCCTCAGCCTGTCTGGTGGGGAGGATAGCCGGGTCCTTGGTCTTCAAAAGATTGGCAGCACGGTGGCCAATGCTACGGTGTTGAGTGTAACCTTGGCAAAGCCGTCGGCCCTGGTCACCCCTTTAGCATTATCTGGAGTCACCTCGATCTCCACTCTACTGGCTGGAGAGTTGTCAGGATTTGTAATATAAACCGAGACGTCAAAGGATGGTGGTGTGGATGGTATGGATCTGGATCCCTCTTTTCTCTGCCTCCCCCATCTCACCCCCTCTCTCTGTTAACACGCTGACTGATACGTAGATGGACTGACCAGTTGATGGATGTCTATGAAAGTCTGTGTAATGTGGTATTTGTTCAGACGACACACTCTTTTACCTTTTCTGATCTCTACCCTCTGCCGAGAGCCGGGGAAGCTCATCTTCTTGTTCTCTCTTGTGATGACCCCAAACACCACATAGCCTGTCACCTCCTTACCATATACAGTATATACCTGTTAGTGATGTCAACTGTCAGATCTTTGTCGTCGATTTAGAAGAAGGCTTTAGCTGGGGTCAGACTAACCTCAAAGCCGTCCAGAACATACTCCTTGACCTCAAAGTCAGATGAGAAGGTCTTCTGAGGAGTGCTCTGGAACCTTGTGACCACGTGCCATTTCCCGAAGCTGACAACTTCAGAGAGGTGGAACTTTCCAGAACTGATTCACTTGTCTGGGTTGATGATCTCCCTGAAGATGGTGATGTTGTCAGGAGTCATGATCTCCACAGAGACAGCGATCTCTTTGTTCTTGGCGACTTCCTTGTCCTCAATGATCTCCCTTGTCAGAGGCTCCAGGCCAGGAGTTATACAGAACACTGTTGTAGACGACGCTGGCTGGTGTGTAAATGGTCTTGTCAGTCTGGATGAAGGTGTATCCAGACTGGAAGAAGACCAGGACAACTTTCTCCAGGATGTGGTCAGGGAACAGGGCCTGCAGGACCACATACTGCTTCTGCTTGGAGTCATACACAAAGTGGTCCCCCTCTGGGATGAACAGTTTTGTCAGAGCCTGGAAGTTGTTTGCTCCTTTCAGAACTATTCATTTGGAGGCCAGAAGTTTGTTCTGGGTAGGATGGTTCTTCACCATGAACTTTACGTTCAGGGGATCTCCTGTATGGTCCTGAGACTCCACAAAGATGTTCTCATTACTGCCCACATGCAGCAGGTTAGGAGCTGACAACACATGTAGTGCAGCTGCATCAGAGAAGGTAGGTAAGGAGAGGGCCACAGCCAGAGTGGCCAGACACAGCAAGTTGCCAACCCACATCTCCACCACTGATTCTGGGTCTGTTATATTGCCTTCACCCTCCTACCATGGATTTGATCATGTTCCTCTGTGGGGGAGCTCCAGGGGTGACTCCCCCCATGGGCTGCGTTACTTCCCAGCAGTAAAGTTGGTAAACCAGCCGCCTTGAAAATAATAGTTGAAAAGCCCACTCCAAGCAAAGCAACCAGCACAAAATCAGAGATGTACTGGAACTGTGAAACTACTGTGATTTACAGTGGGGAAAAAAAGTATTTAGTCAGCCACCAATTGTGCAAGTTCTCCCACTTAAAAAGATGAGAGAGGCCTCAACTATGACAGACTAATTGAGAAAAAGAAATCCAGAAAATCACATTGTAGGATTTTTAATTAATTTATTTGCAAATTATGGTGGAAAATAAGTATTTGGTCACCTACAAACAAGCAAGATTTCTGGCTCTCACAGACCTGTAACGTCTTCTTTAAGTGGCTCCTCTGTCCTCCACTCGTTACCTGTATTAATGGCACCTGTTTGAACTTGTTATCAGTATAAAAGACACCTGTCCACAACCTCAAACAGTCACACTCCAAACTCCACTATGGCCAAGACCAAAGAGCTGTCAAAGGACACCAGAAACAAAATTGTAGACCTGCACCAGGCTGGGAAGACTGAATCATCTGCAATAGGTAAGCAGCTTGGTTTGAAGAAATCAACTGTGGGAGCAATTATTAGGAGATGGAAGACATACAAGACCACTGATAATCTCCCTCGATCTGGGGCTCCACGCAAGATCTCACCCCGTGGGGTCAAAATGATCACAAGAACGGTGAGCAAAAATCCCAGAACCACACGGGGGGACCTAGTGAATGACCTGCAGAGAGCTAGGACCAAAGTAACAAAGCCTACCATCAGTAACACACTACGCCGCCAGGGACTCAAATCCTGCAGTGCCAGACGTGTCCCCCTGCTTAAGCCAGTACATGTCCAGGCCCGTCTGAAGTTTGCTAGAGTGCATTTGGATGATCCAGAAGAGGATTGGGAGAATGTCATATGGTCAGATGAAACCAAAATAAAACTTTTTGGTAAAAACTCAACTCGTCGTGTTTGGAGGACAAAGAATGCTGAGTTGCATCCAAATAACACCATACCTTATGTGAAGCATGGGGATGGAAACATCATGCTTTGGGGCTGTTTTTCTGCAAAGGGACCAGGACGACTGATCCGTGTAAAGGAAAGAATGAATGGGGCCATGTATCATGAGATTTTGAGTGAAAACCTCCTTCCATCAGCAAGGGCATTGAAGATGAAACGTGGCTGGGTCTTTCAGCATGACAATGATCCCAAACACACCACCTGGGCAACGAAGGAGTGGCTTCATAAGAAGCATTTCAAGGTCCTGGAGTGGCCTAGCCAGTCTCCAGATCTCAACCCCATAGAAAATCTTTGGAGGGAGTTGAAAGTCCGTGTTGCCCAGCGACAGACCCAAAACATCACTGCTCTAGAGGAGATCTGCATAGAGGAATGAGCTAAAATACCAGCAACAGTGTGTGAAAACCTTGTGAAGACTTACAGAAAACGTTTGACCTGTGTCATTGCCAACAAAGGGTATATAACAAAGTATTGAGAAACTTTTGTTATTGACCAAATACTTATTTTCCACCATAATTTGCAAATAAATTCATTAAAAATCCTACAATGTGATTTTCTGGATTTTTTCTTCTCATTTTCTCTGTCATAGTTGACGTGTACCTATGATGAAAATTATAGGCCTCTCATCTTTTTAAGTGGGAGAACTTGCACAATTGGTGGCTGACTAAATACTTTTTTCCCCCACTGTATATTAAACCACAGAAACAAAAAACTTAAAGGTCCAATGCAGATGTTTCTATCTCAATAAAAAATAATTTCTGGGTAACAATTAAGTAGCCTACCTTAATGGACCTAATTTACCCCCTGGGGAGGCCAAAACTCCATCCCACCAAAATTTCAAACAGCTCTTACACTAAAAGGGCATTATCATAATTTTCACAATTTCACAGTATTATTCCAACCTCATAATGTGGAAATATACACTGCTCAAAAAAATAAAGGGAACACTTAAACAACACATCCTAGATCTGAATGAATGAAATAATCTTATTAAATACTTTTTTCTTTACATAGTTGAATGTGCTGACAACAAAATCACACAAAAATTATCAATGGAAATCAAATGTATCAAACCATGGAGGTCTGGATTTGGAGTCACCCTCAAAATTAAAGTGGAAAACCACACTACAGGCTGATCCAACTTTGATGTAATGTCCTTAAAACAAGTCAAAATGAGGCTCAGTAGTGTGTGTGGCCTCCACGTCCCTGTATGACCTCCTTACAACGCCTGGGCATGCTCCTGATGAGGTGGCGGATGGTCTCCTGAGGGATCTCCTCCCAGACCTGGAATAAAGCATCCGCCAACTCCTGGACAGTCTGTGGTGCAACGTGGCGTTGGTGGATGGAGCGAGACATGATGTCCCAGATGTGCTCAATTGGATTCAGGTCTGGGGAACGGGCGGGCCAGTCCATAGCATCAATGCCTTACTCTTGCAGGAACTTTTGACACACTCCAGCCACATGAGGTCTAGCATTGTCTTGCATTAGGAGGAACCCAGGGCCAACCGCACCAGCATATGGTCTCACAAGGGGTCTGAGGATCTCATCTCGGTACCTAATGGCAGTCAGGCTACCTCTGGCGATCACATGGAGGGTTGTGCGGCCCCCCAAAGAAATGCCACCCCACACCATGACTGACCCACCGCCAAACCGGTCATGCTGGAGGATGTTGCAGGCAGCAGAACGTTCTCCACGGCGTCTCCAGACTGCTTTCATCTGTGAAGAGCACAGGGCGCCAGTGGCGAATTTGCCAATCTTGGTGTTCTCTGGCAAATGCCAAACGTCCTGCACGGTGTTGGGCTGTAAGCACAACCCCCACCTGTGGACGTCGGGCCCTCATACCACCCTCATGGAGTCTATTTCTGACCGTTTGAGCAGACACATGCACATTTGTGGCCTGCTGGAGGTCATTTTGCAGGGCTCTGGCAGTGCTCCTCCTGCTGCTCCTTGCATAAAGGCGGAGGTAGCAGTCCTGCTGCTGGGTTGTTGCCCTCCTACAGCCTCCTCCACGTCTCCTGATGTACTGGCCTGTCTCCTGGTAGCACCTCCATGCTCTGGACACTACGCTGACAGACACAGCAAACCTTCTTGCCACAGCTCGCATTGATGTGCCATCCTGGATGGTAGACTCCGTCTCATGCTACCACTAGAGTTAAAGCACCGCCAGCATTCAAAAGTGACCAAAACATCAGCCAGGAAGCATAGGAACTGAGAAGTGGTCTGTGGTCACCACCTGCAGAACCACTTCTTTATTGGGGGTGTCTTGCTAATTGCCTATAATTTTTTTATTGTCAATCAGTGTTGCTTCCTAAGTGGACAGTTTGATTTCACAGAAGTGTGATTGACTTGGAGTTACATTGTGTTGTTTAAGTGTTCCCTTTATTTTTTTGAGCAGTGTATATCAAACAGGAAAATCTAGTTTTTGACTGCACAGGGCCTTTAAATAAGTAAAATGGCAAAAGATAATGAATGTAAAGTATTAATTAGGAAATGGACTTTGATGTGCTATTAAAGCCTAAGCTAACTAACGGCCTTCAGCTGTGTACAGAGCTGGTTTCAAGACAGGTCAGCAGCTCATGATGCAGTCACTGTCAAAACAAACAACTGAAATAAACAAAATAGCAAAATAATCATGAATGTATAGTATTAATTAGGTAATGGACTTTGACGTGCTATTAAAGCCTAAGCTAACTAATGCCTTCAGTTCAGTACAGAGCTGGTTTCAAGACAGGTCAGCAGCTCATGATACAGTCACTGTCAAAACAACAGCTAAACCCTAAACGCCATGGAGAACTCAGTGTACTTTATCTCACAATGAGTCAATGTGTGTCAACACAACATCAACACCTCATTAGAATAAAGAACTCATTGTATCTCACTGTATGACCAATAAGGTGACACATACAGTACCAGTCAAAAGTATGGACACACCTACTCATTCAAGGATTTTTCTTAATTTTTACTATTTTCTACATTGTAGAATAATAGTGAAGACATCAAAACTATGAAATAACACATATGGAATCATGTAGTAAAAATACATGTTATATTTGAGATTCTTCAAAGTAGCCATCCTTTGTCTTGATGAAAGATTTGCACACTCTTGGCATTCTCTCAACCAACTTCATGAGGTAGTCACCTGGAATGCATTTCAATTAACAGGTGTGCCTTGTTAAAAGTTAATTTGTGGAATTTCTTTCCTTCTTAATGCGTTTGAGCCAATCAGTTGTGTTGTGACAAGGTAGGGGTGGTATACAGAAGATAGCCCTATTTGGTAAAAGACCAAGTCCATATTATGGCAAGAACAGCTCAAATAAGCAAAGACAGTCCATCATTACTTTAAGACATGACATTTCAAGACCTTTGAAAGTTTCTTCAAGTGCAGTCGCAAAAACCATCAAACGCTATGATGAAACTGGCTCTCATGAGGACCGCCACAGGAAAGGAAGACCCAGAGTTACCTCTGCTGCAGAGGATACATTCATTAGAGTTAACTGCACCACAGATTGAAGCCCAAATAAATGCTTTACAGAGTTCAAGTAACATACACATCTCAACATCAACTGTTCAGAGGAGACTGCGTGAATCAGGCCTTCATGGTCGATTTGCTGCAAAGAAACCACTACTAACGGACACCAATAAGAAACTTGCTTGGGCCAAGAAACACGAGTAATGGACATTAGACCGGTGGAAATCTGACTGGTCTGATGAGTCAAAATTTGAGATTTTGGGTTCCAACCGATGTGTCTTTGTGAGACGCAGAGTAGGTGAACAGATGATCTCCGCATGTGTGGTTCCCACCGTGAAGCATGGAGGAGGAGGTGTGATGGTGTGGGGGTGCTTTGGTGGTGACACTGTCTGTGATTTATTTAGA